AGTCCAACCCCCTGCTGAAGCAGGGTCACCCAGAGCAGGCTGCACAGCACCGCGTCCAGGCGAGGGCAATTCCATAGTGAGAGGTTATTACTGAGCAGATGATTTTGTTTCAGAGGCAGGAAAATAAAAAAAGGTGCCCTTGGTTGTAGGAGTGAAGCCGTGTGTCCGCATCGCTCTGTCTCCTGCGCGGGGAAGCAGTCAGGGGTTTGCTGCCCGTGATTTGAGCGGTGCCACAGCCTGCGTCCCCACGTCACCCGGGGGTCCAGCGCAGTGGGGCTGGGTGCGAGGGGGCCCACCCTGTCCGCAGCTGGCGAGGAGCTGGGCAGGGGCCCAGGGCTGCTTTTCCCATTAGCAGCGCAGAGACCGGGAGCTGAACATGCACTGGCATTACAAACCGCATGGCGTTTCTCCTGCGTTGACGCTAGCCGCGGCGCGCGAAGCGTTACACCGCGTAGCGGGTTTCCAGCAGAATGCATGGGGAGCTACGGGGCCCTCGCTGATCAGGGAACGCTGTTGCTGAAGCAGGCGTGGAGCTCGGTCTGAAGGGCTTGTTCTTCTGCCAGAATTTGCAGTTGGGTGGCCCGGACTGGTGCACGGGGCAGCTCCGGCGTGCTGCTCCCGCTCGCCCCTGCCGTGGCTCTGCAGCACAGAGGGCTGGAAAGCTGCACGGTGTTCGGTGGTGCGCACGTCGGACCGAAAATGTGCCCAGAACCTGTGCGGTAGCAGTGCCGCTGTCTCCATGAGTACTAAGAAAATAGGATGTCTGAGCATCTTGCTGCATCGTACGGGCTCGGTTCGCAGCCGTCAGCTGGGGGTGCAGCTCGGGGCATCTCGGCACGCTCCCGGTTTGCCACCAGTGCAGCTAAACGCCAAAAACAGCCGGTTTCACAGCAGAGAAAATGTTTCACCCACAAAAAGCAGGGCTGATACAGGAGAAAATGTTTCACCCACAAAACATGGGGCTGATACGAGACCCAACCAAAAACCAGCACTGATGGAGGGGCAGACGTGGTGCAGGCCTGGAATGAATCATTTTTTGGGGTGCAAAAGTTGCGACTCTCCAGCGATTTCTCTCTCCTCTTGTCTCCGTGAGGCTGGAGAAAGAGGGGGAAGGGAAGGCTGCCTGCTCTGCGGAACGAGGCGCGTGTCAGTGCGTGGTGACCCACCATGGGCTTTGCTTTCCAGGATTTCTTGACTGACCTGATGATGTCTGAAGTTGATCGCTGTGGTGAGAATGAGCATCTCATTTTCAGGGAGAACACACTGGCCACCAAAGCAATCGAAGAATACCTGAAGCTGGTGGGGCAGAAATACTTGCAAGATGCCTTAGGTACGTACAGAGCGTTGGCAGGTCTCGCGCGGAGGGGCCCTCCTCGAAGCCGCAGGGTGCTCTGCGGGGTGGGGACCCGCAGCTGAGCCCTCGTGGCTGTCGGACGCGCCCGCATTTACTGCCTGGAGGCTTTC